GTTAAAAAAAAAAAAACAAGGAATGTAAAAGTCAGGAAAGTATTTGTCAGATTAGTGTCAGAGACCTTTGTAAGGATGACGCCTTTATCCTCTGCATCCATATCCTTATTGCAGCTCACTTGGCAGCAGAACTAGAACTGCTGAAGATAATTTGGTATGTTTTTACCTTTTTTCGTACACCGCAATTATCAATTTTTTACTATGAGCTTGCTCTACTCCGTGTAGCATACCATGTTAGGGCAACTGCAAATACTACTTAAATGATTACAACAGCACCTTCCTTGTCCTTTCTTATTTACCAAGATTAAAATGATGATTTTTAAAAAGATTTAATAAACCATCTGGGCACTGTAAAGTTGTAGAAGTATTAAAATAGTCTCAACTGACAAATGAAAACCTAATTTGGAAGTAATTTTTATGACTTCTTTTAAAACATCTCAATAATCATAGCTGTTTTTTAAACCTAGGTAGGACCCTCAACAAAATGCCTGACTCAGTATTATTATTTTTCATATACATGCTAATTACCAGTTTAAATGCTTTAAGTAATCAATTCTAATTGAGCAACCATGTTCATGAGATAAAAATCATCTCTCAAAACTGTAATCAAGAATATCATGGTTTTCAAAAAGGTAACCTCAAATGCATTTTATTAATTGAAATACTCTTATCCTAAAACCCTGCTTAAAAGATTTGTTGCTTGCTATTATCTCAAATTGCTCTGGACTTCATCAATAGACCTAGTTGTTAAATTCAGGAGCAATGACAACAAATCCCAGGGCAAAGAACTGCTGAGAGTGAGATCCTCTCTTTAGAATAATCAGAGATAGATGAAAAAAAGGAGCCACACCAAATGTCCTTTCAAAATGCCATTAAGAATCTGGACATAAGTAAAACAAAGTAAGTACATTTTTACACATCTTAAAGAAAATTCTAGTTCTACCCCTCAGTGGACCAGGCTTTGCTAAAATACAAAAATCCAGCAACTTTGAAAAAGAGTGAGATGCTGTTACAGGTTTCTGAAAATGAGAAATGATCCTCACTAATTAAGGGCAAAGTGAGAAAAACTGGTTCCATTACCCAGAGATTGTCAGTCACCTGATAAACAGACTTTAAGTAGAAAGACTTTAAGAATCAAGTGTGATTCTTTAAAAGCCGATACAACTATATTTGCAATTTCTATTTCCTTCACTTATACAATATTAAGATGGACAATTTTAAGTTAAACATATACTTCTGAACCAGTTCTCCTCTTTTTAAAGATGAATTTTTTTTTTGATCCCAGAAAGCATCAACTGAACCTTAGCTACAATGTTAGCAGATTGGTTTCTCTAAACACCTCTGTTCTGTGGTTTGAGTTTTCCAAAATCAAATGACTTTTACTCGTGTTTTAGTATTCTTGAATTAGGGCAAGTAACTGCTCACAGCTTGACTTCAAGTGAACAGGCACCCAAGTACAAGACTCAATCCTTTCCAGCACCTATGGCTCTCAGTAAAACAGTGACAGTGTAGCAAAATCTTGGGTATTTGGGGTCCAGGATTATTAATAAAATCCAAAATCTATGATGCAGTCTCATAGTTCATACAGTTTTCTTTTCAATATACCCCTTCCTTCTCTTTTTTTTTAACATGACTCTTTAAATGTTTTTAATATATTTTTAACTTCACATTTCAAGAACAGTATTATATTTTATGCATTACTTTTTAATATACAAGCCACAAAGAACAGTTTTTCATTAATCACATATAAACCCTCATATTTCATCTTAAACTGATGAATGTTTTTATTAATTAAAAAAACCCTACATCCTTTTAATGGAAACAACTATTTCTACCCAAAAAGTTACAGAAATGCACCCACAAACTACCAATGGCAAAATTAACCTCAAAATTTTGGTTAAAAAAATCATAAAGTTACAATAATTCCTATGCTCTTCCAGCTACCAAGGGTCACATGAAAAAATATTTTTTACCCAAATGAACAGCCCTGGAAAACCAAAGAAACATAAGCTAGCTTTATGTTCCTTTTCCCTTTATCTTGAGACTTCAATTTCCACCTTTTATTGAAAGGAAATAAACAGCTAGCTTCCTGTTCAATCACTAGCTTACAGCCAGTCTTTTACACATCACAGAACACAACCCGCCTCCTTCTTTACTTCTCTCAAATGTCTCTTATCTTAATTTAAACTTGTTGAAACATGAGACCATTTTACCACACTAATGCTTTCCTGTGAAATTTATCTGACTTATTTCAACATTAAAAATACAAGAAAAATCAAGATACCCAGATTACTTCTTATTCCTAAAATACTTAAATTTAGATAACGAAGACTTAGTACCCATGAAAGTGAAATTTTGATTTGGTAAAATTTAGTCATATTGAAATTCATAGGCAACAGTTTAATCTTCTGTTCTTGCTATTGTACACAACTAGAAAAAGGACGTGACTCCTCTTTCTATTCCAATTACATGAAAACATAAGACAGCTAACACGACTATCAATAAAAAGGATTACCTTTTTTTAAAGCTAAATATTACTTTAACCCTATACTTTCTTTTAAAAATGGGATGCCTTAGCAAAACTAAGCTAGATGAATTCTTTTGTGCTTGAATGAACAGGAAAGCAAAGCCTCCAGGCCTTTGGGGAGGAACCTTGTCCCTGCAGCCCTGCTCTGATGTGTTTGGGAGATAAGGCTCCATAGTGACACTTAAGGAAAGGCCTGTTCACATTTGAATTTCTGCATTCCTCAAGAACAATTCATGGCAATAACTAACTTTGCAGAAGAGCTACATGAAAGCTTTGGCCAATGAATGAGGGTCATCTGCTCTTTATCACAAGGGTAAACCTCATCCTGGCCAGTTTCTAACCTTTTAACCCTGTGAATTCCTAATTTACACATGAATAATGGAATTCTTGCCTAGAGTGCAACTTTCAGCTTCTAGTTCCTAAGTTTAGAAACCAAGACTTGATTGCCTGTGTGTTAAAAATCTAAAACTTGCAGAGATTAAAGTTTTAGATTTCCAGGTGCTGTACTATTGTGCTTCTGTACAACCAAAAAATATGCTTACTGACAAAATCCTTGACTAAGAAAAAGAACACACTTGTACCCTGCTGCTATCAATACCTAAAAAAGAACTAGCTTTAAAAACAAGGGGGAAAAGAAAACCAGAATGTCCACTTAATGCCTATTATCTTCCTGTTTAAGATATATATATGTCTCCCTGAACACAGGCTAAAGGGATTTGAACCTCCATCATCTAAACTTATTTATTAGATATCACAACTTTGTTAATTTAAAAAATACATAAAATATAAAAACTACTTCACCGTAACAGCCTGCAAAATGATTCACATGTAATCTTTTATCATTAGTGATAATTACTATAAAGACACAAAAATCTAAGATATTTAAAAAGCCAGTTATGACATTTTGTTTGTTATACCTATCACACACCATTCAGATTTTATTTATGAAGTTAGAAAGCCCTGTGTTTTTCCAAAAGTATTTCTGGAAGCCCTAGAATTCTGTCAGGCTTCTCAGGAAGTCCTGGAAACAATGTACGGTCATGACAAATGCTTCATCTTCTCATGGGCTATCTGGACACCTCCACTACCTACTCCCTATCCCAGGAAAATAAGGTAAGTTACAGTTCCTGGATATGAAAACACAAGATGGTACAAACCCCAAAGGTGGAAAAATTACAACTCTATACAACAAGTTTACAATGGACAAAAATTGAATGAACAGAATATAAGCATAAAAAGCACACTATCTTTTTTTAAACTATTTTTTTATTGCATTTTAGGTTTTGGGTACATGTGAAGAACATGCAAGATTGTTGCATAGGTACACACATGGCAGCGTGATTTGCTGCCTTCCTCCCCTTCACCTATATCTGACATTTCTCCCCATGTTATCTCTCCCCAACTCCCCACCCCGCTGCTGTCCCTCCCCTATTGCCCCCCAACAAACCCCAGTGTGTGATGCTCCCCTCCCTGTGTCCATGTGTTCTCATTGTTCAACACCCGCCTATGAGTGAGAACATGTGGTGTTTGATTTTCTGTTCTTAGCACATTATCTTTAAAACAGTACTATACAGAAAAACCATTACTCCATGAAAAAAATAATTACCGGCCAATGAAAACAGGGAGGGAGGGAGGGAGGCAGGCAGGCAGGTAAAGGGAGGGGAGAGAAGAGACAGGAACAAGCGGAGGGACAGGGAGAAGGGTAGGGAGAAAGGAAAGAAGGGAGGGAGGTAAGGAAGGAAAATGGGATGGGGAGGAGAGGGAGGAAAGGGACAGGAGGAAGGAGGAAGGAAGGGGGAAGGGGGGAGGAAGGAAGGAAGGAAGTAGGAAGGGGGGGAGGTAGGGGGAAGGAAGAAAAGAAGAAAAGGAGAGAGGGAGGGAGGGAAGGAAAGAAAAGGAAAGGAAAAATCAGAAATCCTCTCAGGTTTATGCTATTCTTTGGCGAGGGTGAGAGTATGGCTAGAACTGCAAAGCTCTGAGTTTTCTGATGTATCAATATAGAAATATCTTTGTTTGCAATTTATTTTCTACAATTAATCATTACTGCAGAATAAAATAAATTACTAATATAAAGGTGTCATAAATGTGACCATGAACTGTTAACAGTAAAGACACCTAGGAAATTCCTGCCAACAGCTTCCTAAATTTCAATTGTGTAAAACTTGAGACAACTATTTCCTAAAAATTATGCTTTCTTTTCTTCTTAAAGATATGGGAGTCTCACTGCAGGCTGGACTCAAATTCCAGCGCTCAAGGAATCTTCCTGCTTCAGCCTCCTACATAGCTGGGATTACAGGCTAACCACCAGCCCAGCTAAGATTATACCTTTATCTCAAGAACTCCATCTACCTATTACTCAACTTGTAAATGATCGATTTGTAAGCATAGTGCAAAATCTACCTTTTGTGGATTAACCAAAGCATGCGGGTAGAATGCCTTAAACCTTTTTTTTTTTTTGTAAGCGTGTTTTCATTTTTCCAAAAATTGCACAAAGGTAAAGCAAAGCTCCAGCTGATACGGGTGTGTTGGTTAGGCCTTAGCAGTACTGCCCTCACTATGTGCTCACTGGACAGCAGCACAACCCCAAGAAAAGGATGATTAAAAGCCTCAAAACGTTTTAGGATTCAATTTTGCTTTTCGAGATTTTTAGTCTATTAATCTTCAGACCTGTGTGTTTGATCACCTAAAAAAGATGTAATGCTTCAGTGGGAACAAGGAGTTCAGTACCTGTCCTAGGCCCATCTTTACACTCAACAGTTACAGGTCAACCACCAAGCAGTGGATCACTTGGGCAAATGGTCGATCTGATGGGGTTGTAAACAGAAATCATTAGATAGCAAACTTTATAGCAAAGGGGAAAAGTGAGGAGATCTGGGTTTAAGTCCATTAGCCATAATATGGAAATGGTCTTAATCTCTTTCCCTCCCAGCAGGAAAAGACTAGGAATACTTCAAAGGCTTAAAAGAGAGTGACCAATGCCCTCTCCTACAATTAAAAGGCAACATGGGTGATCCAAAAGCAGTCAGAGAAATGGAAGGTTGGGCTATAAGAAAGATTTAGCACTCAAGAGCCATCTGCAAAGCAGAAAAATTTGCTTGCAATTGTTTTCATTAATTACAAATTTCCATAAGATTAAATTTTAGAATTTTGTTGCTCTGGCCAAACTTCTACATCCAACTCTTCATATTGAGTGAAACACTTAAAATTTTTATAAAGTCACCTCTACAAGTTTTATTTTACTTGATGTTCTAAACCTAACTTCTGTTCTCAATTCTCATCTGAATTTATATTTGTATTTTTTTCAGACTTCTCTATATGCCTCAGCATCAACTATTATCTCCAGTAACATTCTTAATATAAGCATGACTTAAGGGGTTATTATATTAATCAAGCAAGAAATCATCGAAATGTAGCAATGAAAATTGTCAACAACCAAAAACTTAAACACTTACTTGATAAGGTAAGATGAGCTTTTTGACTAAGAATGGCTCCATATTTGTTCACTGCCAAACACTGATAAAATCCTTCATCGGACTGCTCTCCTCGTCTGCCTTCCACCTCGCTGATGTATAAAGAGCCGTTAGAAAGAACCTCGATTCTTTTATTTTCAGACACTTTTGCTCCGTTTTTCAACCATGTGACCTTAATAGGAACTTCTCCGTGAGCCTGGCAATCTAAAACGACTGGGTCCTTTCTTGTGACAGTTACATCCTGTGGTTCTTTTACAAAAAACAGTTCGCTAAAGCACCACACTCCTATAAGGAAAAAAGGAGAATGGCACATCCAGAATTATAGGCATAAAATGATTCCTTAACACACGACTGTAAAACACGTATTCAGGGTACAATAAGACAAAGTTTAACAAATCTTATTAGTTAACTTACAAACACCCTAATGAACCAATCTAAATTTCGGCAAACCCTTTCAACAAGTCAGAGAAATCACTTTTTACATCTTCACTAAAAGCACAGGGACGATTTCAATAACTTCTATTCCTTGTACGAATTCTGTTCTCAAGTTCCTCGCTACAGTCTCAAAATCATCAGGAAAACTCATGAGCACAAGCTGTTTGCTACTTTTACAAGCTTGTCAAAAAGATCTTGAACAGAGTAAGTCGTAAAAGTCTAATTTTACAAGAAATCATTAGCAAAACTCCAACTCTGTGAACAAGCAAGTTTATTTCCTTGTCCCTTGAAGTGTTTTTGGAACCCTTGGCACCTACTCCTTTGGGAACTGCGTTTATCTTTTGTGACAAATTACAAGTTTGCATTTTTCTATCTGCCCTTTTACAGCAGGGACTCTGTCTCCTCTCCTTGAAAGAAATCCATTTACTTAATTTCTGCAGAGCAAGCTAGGTATTTAAAAGACAAACAATAGACTTTGAAAAGTTGGTAACTCTTGCGGCTTGTACTCAGTGGGTGATCGGATTAGGAAACTTTTATTTCACTTTTTTAGAACTACCAACTGTTGGAAAAAATGTGTGACTAATTGGTCCTTACTGTCTAATAGGGATAGGAGATAGCTTAATCAACCAATACACATTTTTATCAGAGCAGAGGAAAGGCTTTATCCCAAGCATACACATATCGCCCCTGGCCCCTGCCAGGATAAAGCATTCGATGACCTACTAATACTCTGTCACCTCCTGCATTTAGTGCACAGGCCTTAAAGGCTGGCGTATTGATTGGGAGCGAATGGAGAATGGGGGTGTGTGGGGGAACAGTAGTTTCATCTTTCTCCTGATCGTTTTGGATCCTTGACTACAATTCCCCAGGAACTATTTGTTTCTCCTCGAGGCAGGTCCTCGGAATCCTCACTCCTCAGGGTTCCCATAAGGAACGACTAGGGAGACAGGAGCCACCCTAACAGCCCAGCGCTGCGCGCGGACCACTCCGGAAGACGCCCATTGTGTTCTTGAGCCACATCTGACTTTGATCCTCTTTTCAAGCCTAACAGAAACTAAACCACTCGAGAAAAACTCTGGGGTTTGTAATTTGCAAATAAATAACCCTTTCTCCTGAACACCTCTCCTACCGTCACCCCAAGTACTTTACACTTTTATCTCTTTTAGGAAAAATGAGTTCACCCAAGTTTGTGTAAGACGAACCTAGAATATGGAAGAATCTTCAGATCCATACATACCTCAGGCCCTGATCACAAATACCTAGCTGTAGAAAATACATCCTATTTATCTATTTCCAGCTCCGAAGACATTTTTCCTTCCCCGGCTGGGGCACAAATCGGCCACTTCACTCCCAACCCTGCCAATTCCACCCTCCCATCTCCTCCTGGCTAGATCCGGACCAGGAAAGCTGGTGCCGACTTTTGCTTTGAGTTCACCTATTCCCTCTCACAGCCCTAAAAAGTGGGGGAACTCCCACGGCAGACACGCGAAGGCGCGCGGAATCGCGGCGCCCCCTGCGCGGCGAGGCAGCCACTAAGGAAACAATATAAATAAAGCCACGTGCGGCCGCGGCAGCCCCGGCGGGCGGGCGGGCGGGCTGCCCGGAGCCCGGCTGGTCGCGGAGGCGGGGACGCGGCTAGAGCCGGGACAATGGCGCGAGAAGTAAGAGACCAGAGTGGACAGCGGCCGCCAGAACTCCGCAGCCCGGGGCGCGCGGCAGGGAGGGGCATGCGCCCGGAGAGGCTCCAGTAGCCCTGCCCGCGCCGCCTCAGAGCTCGCGGGCAACTCGTGTCTGCAGCCGGCGGCTCGGGACAGGCCACGGGGCGAGAAAAGGGGCCGGTAGTCAGCGCCACCACGGAGGATCCCGCCGCACGCTCCCCCCGCCCCACCGTTTCCTCTTTCCCCATCCCACTCGCGCCTGCTCCCGCCCCACAACGGCAAGAGAAAGCAGAAGAAAGCGCGCCCACCTGGCACGGGGCTGAGCAGCAGCAGAAGCAGGAGCGCACGGAGCAGCATCCCCGGCGGCCGCAGCCGGGCGAGGGGTCGCAAAGGAGGCGCCATTCAGCGGAGCCGCGCGGGCATGCTCCCCGGCCGCCCCGAGCCGCTGTCCGCCTGCCGCCCTCGCCCCGGGCGCTCGCCGCTCGGCGGCTGGACGCACGCAGCCCGGCTCCCCGCTCCGGCTGCGGCACCGGCGTGGCGAGGCGCGACGCGGGTCTCTGCGGCAGCAAGGCCGGTGCTCGGACGGCCGCTCGCGAGAAGCTGGGGGCCTGAGAGTCCGGCTAGGGGCGGAGTGAGGCGGCGGCTGCAGAGGGCGGGGGCGGCGGAGTGGACAGCGCCGCGGCCGCCGGCCTGGGACTACTTTCTACATCTGGCCCCTGGTCTGGGACCAGGAGGTTGGCGCGGCCGGCGGAGGGAGACGCTGGGAGGGGGCCGGGGGCGGCCGGGTCGGGGCTCTGGGGGGGAGGGGACGGGCCCCGCCGGACAATGCACCTGGGGGTCAAGCCCCGACTGAGGGTCTACATCCCGCGTCCCCTCCCCTTCTGCCTCCGCGCCACCGTCGGTGACAGAGCCACAAAGGCCGAGCCTTCCAGCCCAGCCAGCCTCCGGGGCCCCTCTCCTGCGGCTAGCTGAGGATTGGGGAAGGGGGAGGCCGGGGAGGGCTGGTGTTGAGAGATGGGGAAAGGCCGGAGGCTTCTCCCCTGATGGCCCTTGCCCACCCCCTGCTTCCCTCACACACAGAGGCCCTGTGCAGGGAAATCTCACTCATTCCCACTTCAGAGATTTGTCAGCTCCACTGGAGGCATCTCCGGGTGATAAGCCCCCGGAGATAGTCCGGTGCATTTGGGCACAGCTCTTCTCCCTGCCCCCATTAGAGTCGGCGCGGCTTAAAAACATCTCCGAAGAGTGTTTTCAAATGAACAGTCGCCTTTAGGGGAGAGGGTTTATTATCTCTTCTTCAAGTTAGTCAAGTTCTTTAATTTGTGAGAACTGTGCACACAAAAGGCTCTGTCCTGAGAGCAGAGGCGAGATCAGGGGATTTCTGGATTCTGTGGGCTGGCTATGAGAAGCCGGCTTTGATTGATTACTTGGTTATAAATTAAACTAAGACACAAATGTTGTGAATTTGTTCACATCTAAATTTAATTAAGGATAACAGGAGTTGAAACGTACATTTAAAGAATATAATCAGATCACAGAGAGCGTTTACATATGGATTAACATTTGCTAATCCAAAACTAAATCTGTGGCACATGATGAGGGCACAGGCTAAAAGCTAGCCTTCATGAAGGCTGCTGACAGAAAGCTAGTTTTGGTCACCAAAACATCAACACACTGCCTTTAGCATGTTCCAGAAATCCTCCTGGCCCGGTGTGGTGGCTCATGTTTGTAATCCCAGCACTTTGGGAGGCCGAGGCAGGTGGATCACTTGAGGTCAGGAGTTTGAGACCAGCCTGGGCAACATAAGGAGACACCCCGTCCCTCCAGAACTTATCTGTTCCAGTACTCTCAGCTACTTGTGAGGCTGGGGTGGGAGGATCACTTGAGACTAGAAGTCGAGGCTGGGGTGAGCTATGATCAGGCCACTGTACTCCAGCCTGCTTCCAATAAATAAATAAATAAACTCTCCTGATGAAGTAGTGGGAAAAAAAAGTTTCGAACTTTAGCACTACCTTCCCCTCTTAAGCTTGTTATAGTAAGGAACAGAATATTAAGCAATTTCAACTTAACTGCATGTAAAGCAGTAATATCCTTGGTATATTGCTTCCAAAAGTGTATTTGAAACTTATATGAAACTGGACTATTTCTAAGCATCAGAATAAAGGTGCATTGGAAGGGAAAACATTTAGAGATAATAAAATGAAACATTTGCAAGGATGTTTTAAATATCTGATAATTCAAATTTACACAAAACGATATTCCTGTTTGCCATTACACCTTTTTTTTTTTTCTTTTGAGATGAAGTTTCTGTTGCCGAAGCTGGAGTGCAGTGACACAATCTTGGCTCACTGCAACCTCCACCTCCCGAGTTCAAGAGACTCTCCTGCCTCAGCCTCCTGAGTAGCTGGAACTACAGGCACATGCCACCACGTCCAGCTAATTTTTGTAGTTTTAGTAGAGACGGGGTTTCACTATGTTGGCCAGGCTGGTCTTGAACTCCTGACCTTGTGATCTGCTCGCCTCGGCCTCCCAAAGTGTTGGTGGCATGAGCCACCGCACCCAGCCTGTTTTTTTTTAATTGTAGGACATTCTCCCTCTTCCCTTTCTCCCTGTTCCCTTTCCATCGATCCCAAGTGCTCATATTTCCTGAATAACACAGTACATGTCTTGGTCACTTCCATTTTCTCTCATGTATAATACTTGTTTTATATCATGTGCTAGGCTACATAAGCTAATTAAGGACTTGTTATCTAGTTCTGGGATTCTCCACAATTTCCATCCAGCACAGCATATAGTGTGTAACACTGCAGTCGTTAAAAGCCTGGTTTGGGTGTCTAACAGACTAGCATTCAAATTTCAGAGTTATACAGACAAGTCACTCATGCGCTCAGACCTAATTCATTTAATGAGACTAAGAATAATACTGATGGGAGCTGGACGAGGTGGCTCATGCCTGTAATCCCAGCACTTTGGGAGGCCAAGGTAGGTGTATCACCTGAGGTCAGAAGTTCAAGACCAACCTGGCCAACATGGCGAAACCCCGTCCCTACTAAAAATACAAAACATAGCTCGGGAAGCTGAAGCAGGAGAATCGTTTGAACCCAGGAAGCAGAGGTTGCAGTGAGCGGAGATCGTGCCATTGCACTCCAGCCTGGGCGACACAGCAAGACTCCATCTAAAAAAAAAAAAAAAAAAAAGAACAACACTGATGGGCTGCTGTGATATAAAATGATGCATGGAAAATACCTGGTGCAAAGCTCTATAAATCCTTGCAATTATTGTTTGGTAAGTAAATATTCCCAATAGTGGCAAATATTTGTTTTTTCAGAGTGGCTTGACATTGAAATATTTTTAGAAGTCAAAGCTGATTAATTTGTTTGATGATTATGCTGCTAGTGACTCTAATGACTTCTTTCAGTAGTTTCTAACCTGGTCCTGAAAGAAGTTAGAAGTGCCTGGGTGTCTAACTTCCCACAGCTACCTCCTTAGAGAATAAATGTCATGGAGATAAACAACTACCTCAGCCCTATTTGCTTTTGTATTCCAAAACAATTGTTCTTGGACCAGAAAGAGTAGAGTCAATATAGTTAAAGAGAATTGAAATCTGAGGGTAGGTTTAAAAAACAATACAGATTATTTATTTAACAAATTCAAGTCTTATATCCCAATTCTGAGGGGGGAAAAATCACATAACTTCACCGATCAAGTTATAGGGCTGTAGCAAATATTTTCAAGCCCTCTGACCTCTCATCATTATCCAGTTCTATAAAATCATAGGGCCATTTGCAGAAATGTTTGAACCACAGTGGCAAAAGACAGTAAAAGTCTAGTGAGTTGTTTGATTTTTCATTTAACAAATAATTACTGAGCTCCTACTATGATGATTAGAAGACTAGGCCCTGATGTGGATCTCCTGCCATGATATTAACATTTCAGTAATCATTCCTGATGAGCTTAATATTTATCATCAGAAATATTTTGAAATTGGTTATTTTTAAAGTGAGTTGTGGCTGGGCATAGTGGCTCACACCTGTAATCCCAACACTTTGGGAGGCTGAGGTGGGCAGATGGATCATGTCCAGGGGTTTGAGACCAGCCTGGGCAACATGGGGAAACCCATCTCTACAAAAAATTAAAAAAAAAAAAATTAGCTGGGTGTAATAGTACATACCTGTAGTCCCAGCCACACAGGAGGCTGAGGTAGGAGAACTCCTTTAGCCTGGGAGGATGAGGCTACAGTGAGGCATGATCATGCCACTACACTCTAGCTTGGGCAACAGAGTGAGATCCTATCTCAAAAAAACGTAAAGAAAACTACAGGAGCTCTTTCCTTTCGCTACCGCCGCCACAACCATGAGTATGCTCAGGCTTCAGAAAAGGCTTCCTTCTAGGGTCCTCTGCTGTGGCAAGAAGAAGGTCTGGTTGGACCCCAGTGACACGAGTGAAATCACCAATGCCAACTCCCATCAGCAGATCCAGAAGCTGATCAAAGATGGGCTGATCATCCACAAGCCTGTCACTGTCCATTTCCGGGCTTGATGCCCAAACAACACCTTGACCCACCAAAAGGGCAGGCACATGGGCATAGGTAAGCAAGAGGGTACAGCCAATGCCCACATGCCAGAGAAGGTCACATGGATAAGGAGAATGAGGATTCTGCACCTGCTGCTCAGAAGATAACAGGAATCTAAGAAGATTGATCGCCACATGTATCACAGTCTGTACCTGAAGGTGAAGGGGAATGTGTTCAAAAACAGGCAGATTCTCATGGAACACATCCACAAGCTGAAGGCAGTCGAGGCCCACAAGAAGCTCCTGGCTGACGGGGCTGAGGCCCGCAGGTCTAACACCAAGGAAGCACGCAAGAAGAGCACCTCTAGGCCAAGAAGGAGATCATCCAAACTTTGTCAAAGGAGGAAGAGACCAAGAAATAAAAGCACCCTTTGTCTGGACATACAGGCCTCCCTGATTACATAGATCAGCCATTAAAATAAGCCTTTATCTGCAAAAAGTAAAAAGAAAACTGTAAATAAAAACCAAAGTGAGTTGTAACTATTGAGATTGTAAAATGGTGCAACTGCTATGGAAAACAGTATGGAGTTACTAAAAATAATTAAAAATAAACCAGGTGTGGTGGGTCACACCTGTAATTCCAACACATTGGGGGTCCCACGTGGCACATCATTTGAGGTCAAGAGTTTGAGACCAGCCTGACCAACATGGTGAAATCCCCTCTCTACTAAAAATACAAAAAAAATCAGGCGGGCGTGGTGGCAAATGCCTGTAGTCCCAGCTACTCAAGAGGCTGAGGCACGAGAATTTCTTGAATCCAGGAGGCAAAGGTTGCAGTGAGCTGAGATCACACCACTGCACTCCAGCCTAGGTGACGAGGCAAGACCCCATGTCAAAAAAAAATTATTAAGAGGGGCTGGGTGCAGTGGCACGTCCCTTTAGTCCCAGTTGCTTAGGAGGCTGAAGAAGGAGGATCACTTGAAGCCAAGAGTTTGAGGCTAGCCTGGGCAATATAGTGAGACCCTATCTCTAAAAATGAATAAATAAAATAAAAATTATTGATGGTAAATTTGTTATGTGTTTTTTACCACAATAAAAATAATTGCACATAAATGCATAGGAAATGCAGTGATAAAGGCTAGGCATGGTGGCTCACGCCTGTAATCCCAGCACTTTGGGAGGCCAAGGTGGGCAGATTGCCTGAGGTCAGGAGTTCAAGACCAGCCTAGCCAACACAGTGAAACCCCATCTCTACTAAAGATACAAAAATTAGCTGGGTGTGGTGGCACATGCCAATATTCCCAAATATCAAAAGGCTGAGGCAGGAGAATCGCTTGAACCCAGGAGACGGAGGTTGCAGTGAGCTGAGATCTCACCACTTGCACTCCATCCTGGGTGACAGAACAAGACTCCATCTCAAAAAAAAAAAAAAGGAAATGCAGTGATGATGGTCAGGTAGAAGCCTATATTTGCCAATAATTGTGGATGGGTGTAGGTCAAAGAAAATAGAAAAGCAGCTGGGCAAGGGGGCTCATGATTGTAATCCCAGCACTTTGGGAGGCTGAGGTGGGTGGATTACTTGAGGCCAGAGTTTGAGACTAGCCTGGCCAACATGGTGAATCCCCATCTCTACCAAAAATACAAAAATTAGCTGAGCATGGTGGCTTAAGTCTGTAGTCCCAGGTACTCAGGAGGCTGAAGCAAGAGAATTGCTTGAACCCAGGAGGCGGAGGTTGCAGTCAGCAGAGACCGCACCACTGCACTCCAGCCTGGGCGAGAGTGAGACTCTGTCTCAAAAAAAAAAAAAAAAAAATTAGGCTGGGCGCGGTGGCTCAAGCCTGTAATCCCAGCACTTTGGGAGGCCAAGGCGGGTGGATCACGAGGTCAACAGATCGAGACCATCCTGGTCAACATGGTGAAACCCCGTCTCTCCTAAAATTACAAAAAATTAGCTGGGCACGGTGGCGCGTGCCTGTAATCCCAGCTGCTCCGGAGGCTGAGGCAGGAGAATTGCC